GATACCTGGTGCACAATGGCTAGAGGGAACCAGATTCATTCTTAACCTTTTGAGGTCAAACTTTAGGAAGCAGTGTCGAGTTGTGGCAAGGGGATTACAGGCCTAGACACAGGCAACCTATCCTTTGCTCTACCCATTAATGAGATATGCAACCTTGGGCAAGTAAATTTCACCTCTCTGTGCCTTGGTTTATTATCTATAAAATGAGTGGGTTGAACTTTACCAGAAAATACCTTCCAGCTCTAAAATCTGGTGAAACAACTTCATGGAGGGCAAATACAATATGCTCTGCAAACTGTCTCTTTGAAGCATTAAAGTCCGCCAAGAATTACACTGACATCTGAAATTAATTCTGGGCCAACTCTCCTGGTGTCTGGCGCACAACCGACTGACTCCTTACTTGCACTGCACTGTCTCACAGGGCACTCAAATCTACCGATCACATCTGGGGCTTGGAAGGTAGAGCAAGTAATACCCTCATTTACAGAAGGAACTGAGGCGTAGGGCTGAAATGTCCCGTTTAAAGTCTCAAACGGTAAACGACAGTCTACTTGACCTCACTGCTCTAAAAAGGGGGACTGGGGGTGCCCGGGAGGTGGCATTGGACCATAAGAGACAGCCAGCTGTTCAGTTATCCCTGAACAGCAAACCCTCCCAGGAAAAGGCCTCAAGCCGACTACTGGGTCCAATTCCCTTGAAGGTCAGGTCAGCATGGCTTGGGAAACTCGTGGTTTGGATCCCGCCAAGTCGGAATTCACGCGACTGTGAGTATGTTAAGTTTTCCCCAGGGGTGGGGGGAGGTCTGTAAGGCACAGGGAGCCTATGGAGCCCAGGCCCTTGGTCTTCGAGGTGGGGGTGGCCCGGGATAGGTCAGTCAGTCACCTGGGAGCCGGTTCCTCTGCCTCGGGCCTCGGACGCACACTGTCCGCACCAAGGGCGCCAGCTTCTGCTTCAAAGCACCCGCCGCCAGGCCTCCACACCGGAACATTTCGGCGACCGCTACTCTGGACCTCCTCCTTTCCTTTCTTCTCACGCACCCACCAACGGGTCACACACCGTGGACCCCGACCCGCTGCCCCCCCAGCGCTCCCTTCACACGCACTCTGCGCAGGCTCCGCCTCCCAGCTCCGGGTGGGCATTGGACAGTTAAGCCGGCCTGCTAGAGCAGGGGAAGGGGAAGCGCGACTGGAGGCCTACTGCGCAGGCGTAGTACTCAGCGCCGCATTGCGATTGGCCTGCACGGTGAGAAGATTGCGCATGCGCCTAGCTGCCGGCGCACTTGCAAAGCCAGCAGCCGGAATTGCTTGCAAGTTTCCGCGGGTCGGTGGCAACGCGTTTCGCTGAGCGAGTTCAGAACGCTGTCCAGGGAGCGACCCGTGGGCCCGCTTTAGCTGGCGGTTGTGGCCGGCGCTGCCGCTATGTCGGTGGCGAGAACTGATAACAGCACCTCACAAAGTGTGGCCCCAGCACTGCATTTTCTTCTTCTGTTTTAGGCCACTAGCTACTAGGTACTGAGCCTTCCGGATTCTCTGCCTTTAATCCACTTCCAGTCTTTCCGGAGGTCTGAGCCGGGGCACCTGGCTTCCCAGATTCGGAATGGACTTTTGTCTTTTACAAATTGCTGACGGTTTCCCACCCAATCCCTGTTTGCTGCACAAGTAATCATTCCGCGCTCTCTTTCCGCATATCGTTTTTATATTGTGCAGTTCTGTGTCCTGGATGCTGTACCAGGTGCTGCGGATAGTCTGCTGTTATTATGGCTTCCGTACTTGAGAGCAGGATACTGGCAAAAAGAGTTCGTGCTTCACAGGCTTTCTGTGAGAGAAATCCTAAGCAGGACTTTCAGAGTTGGAGTAGGGTTAGGGGCTGACTGTAAACAGGTGTTTTGACTCTACCGAATGTAAGCTAAATTGGAAAGAAATTTTTGTCTGTATGCAAAATATAACGCCTTTTTCAAGGTTTTGGGTACATATTCATTTAACAAGTATTTATTGAGCGCTTGCCACTTGAACCATACCTTGAAAGGGGCTCTGGGGCATATGAAAAGCATAGGAAGTGGTCATTGTCTAGTTGGGGATATGACGTATACTGGTCATTTAAATAATAAATAATACCTGATGTAGTGCCAGAGCAGGAGAACGGAGTATGGGGTGGAATAGCTAAGGAAGGACTTCATGCAAGAAGTGTTGCTTGAGCAGTGTCTTGAAGGATGAGTAGCAAAATTCAAGTAGACAGTGGAGGAGGAGGAATATTTCAGGTGATGAATACATTGAGACCAAAGATAATATTTTTAGTGGTTGGGTACCGTTGACTTTGGGTCCAGTCTACCTCAGGTTGAATCCTGGCTCTGCTGCTTGGGCAAGTCGCGTAGCTGTGCCTCACCTTCCTCATCTACCAATCTTACAGAGTTGTGATGAAGATTAAAGGAGCTAATATGTATAAAGTAGAGGAAGCACCATGCTGTTTAAATTAAAAGGCTTGGAGGTGTAAAACAAACAAAAACCCAGCACATTTTCAGGGGACAATGGCAAAGAATACATAGTAAGAAGTAAATAAAGGCGGGTTGATATGGTGGGGCCAGATTTGAAGTGGCGAAAGAGTTTGGCCTGAATCTTGTAGATGATAAAGTTATTTTTTTTAGTGGACTAGGGATAGAAAATGAAATTACAAAAGCGTTGTTTAGGAAGTTTAACCCAGGAAGCAGTATTTATTGGGTGAAAATGACCCAGGGTTCTCCTACTCATTACGAATAGATTCATGTTCAGAAGTGCAGGCGATAGGTGACTTTTTACCCGGGGCTGCTTTGGGTGATAAATATTGAAAATAACAATTCCACAATAAGGTAAAAACTATACTTATTTAACATTTTAAAGGCCTTACAGACATGGATATCTATTGCTATTTCTAAAAGCCAATAATAAGCATGGATTGATTAAATACAAAGTTAATCATATCTGTTGGTGAAAGAGGCTTTGGAACATGCTGTGGAAATCATGATGATCGGGTACCTATGAAAACAACTGGGTATATATATATATCATTTATTTATTTGTATTTATTTTTTGAGGAAGATTAGCCCTGAGCTAACATCTGCTGCCAATCCTTTTTTTTGCTGAGGAAGGCTGGCCCTGAGCTAACATCCGTGCCCATCTTCCTCTACTTTATATGTGGGATGCCTACCACAGCATGGCTTGCCAAGCAGTGCCATGCCCGCACCCGGGATCCAAACCGGCGAACCACTGGCCACTGAAGTAGAATGTGTGCGCTTAACCGCTGAACAACCAGGCCAGCCCCACAACTGGGTATATTTGAAAGACAACCATTTAATGATTGACAGTTAACACAAAGAAAAGGCATTGTACAGCACATTTATTTTTGCAATAGGTACAATGAGGTAGTTTTCCTGTCCCTTTAATTAAAAGTTGTAATTTATCACCTTCTTTTTGCAAAAGCAATGTACACACATTGAACTGACTCCAAAAATATAAGTGGAAGTTCCCCCAAATCTCGCCCCACAGAGGTAGCAAACAATTTTTATTAGAGCATGGAGCCCACTCTGAGATACCACATTTCCAGAAATCAGTGTTTCTACCTTAAAAATATAATGTGAACTCTGAGACTCAGTGACAAGTTTTTGGTGGAAGCATACATCTAAATACTCTTACTATGTAGATGTAATTTTTTTTTATATCTCTCAAGAAAGTTAGCATTAATTCTGGCTATGAGTTGGCAAAGCTTCTTTCCCCTCTACCTACTGGATGTGCCTGATTAATAGTTACCCCCCCCCCTTTTTATAGCTACCCTTCTGTACATAATGATCACCAGGAGCATTAGCTTCAAATACAGAGGAGAATGATGCAGCAAACTATTATCTAGACATCAGCCAATCAAAAAACCAAAATACTGTACAATGATGAATGCTATTCACACTGTACGATGATAATTGGTATTCATAATGATGACTTTGGATTAGCCAACTAAGGTTAAATCCTTCTCAAAATGGTTTTAATATTGAATAGTATAATCTAGGGTTTTACAAATGGGTGACCCACGTATATGCTAAAACAGTTTGCTGTAAACACGTCTGCTAACTTAGCTAAAAAGCTTATTAACTAGAAGACCCTATTTTTCCAGCCATTTTGAGTAACTCGGACTTGGCTGAGCGGTTGCATTCCAATTTGCTTACAGAACTCTCACTGATGCACTGATTTGTTTTTCTCATAATAGGAATGGATTTAGTCACATTTGTCTCTTCTGAGCTCAGCCTCACACACAAATAAGATAGCAGCTCACGTGTTGCTGGAATCCCCGACCCTGATGGCATTAGCACAGAACTCAAATGTCGGTGTTGGCATATGTCAATATTACCTTAGCCTATGAAATATGTGGGAGGACGATAACGTCTTAAAAGTAAACATAAAATGGGTGCATTTTATTGTATGTAAATTGTACCTCAGTAAAGTTGATTTCAAACAAACAATTCTGAACCTGCAAATCACTTTCAGTAGGACTACTGATCTTGACCAAGATGTGTGATGCTCAGTAAGCTTTGGGAAGCTGCCCCCTAATACCGTAAGAAAGTTCTGTTCATTTATCAGCTTCCAAGCATAATCTAGGCTTCTGGCAAATTAGACCCAACCACTTCGTTCTACATTCAATTGCAGAGGGGTGAACCCTATAAGGGGTTTCCAATTCCTTTTGAAAGTCTACCATTCTGGAAGGTCTTACGATTATAGGGAGGACTCGAGAATGCAAGACACTGTGAGGTTTATGCCATATTCTAAGATCCCTCCACCTGGGCCTGTAATGGTTAGCTCCGGAAACAAGGTCCCCTTTTGCTGGAGCTGCCACCACTAACTTCCCCCCTTCTCCTATGCCCTGTATGGCCCTCTCCCGTGGCGGGCCTTCCCCATTGGCCAGACAAACACAACCGACTCCGGCAGCCAATGGGAGCTACTCTCCTGGACATGCAGAGGATGGGTGCTCGTGGTGTGATGAGAGGAGGTTGGCGCCTGGCACGCGCCCCCCTACATCTGGCAAGTCTGTGACAGAAACAGTAACACCCCTCCACACGCACACCCTTTCCCCTCGGCTCCCTCTTCTCAGCTGCGCGGGCCCCCGCAACCGGCGGCCGGCAGCGCCCTCCCTGGCTCCTTGGGGCGCGCGAGTGCACCTGCTTACTCTAAGACAGAGCATCCCTTTATCCCAAGGCTTGGGAGGGGGCTGCGGAGGCGCGGCTCAGCTGCCCGCCGCTAAGGAGGTGAAAGAGGTATCTTCGCTCCGCACCCCACCCTCGCCGAGTTGCGTTGTTCCAAGGCTGACGAGCTCCAGAGATGCCTTAGGGTGCAGCTCTCTTTGTCCTTCACAGCTGTGCTCCCTGCCCACTGACCCCGTGCACTCCAAGAAAGTGGGGGTGGGGAGCCCGAGACCTATAGCATAAATGGGGACAAGGAGAAAGGAAGACCATCCCGGGGTGGTGTGTGCCGCTGTCCCCACCCCCTCCCTTTCCTCCTTAGGTTTCCTCCCTCCTGTGTGCCTCTGGGGTCAGGCAGGGGAGGGTCTAGGCAAAGGCGAGGCGGCGGCGGCGGCGGCGGCGGCTTCGGGAGCATCATAGGATCGAGCGCCTGAGCGTCCCGTCCGAGGGTACAGGCAGAGGAGAAGGCTCGCGGCTTGCCACGCTCCTCCATCTCTCCTCTCCTCTCTGGCTTTTGTGTTAGTGCCTTGGAGCTGCAAGGAGGGTGCGCTGGAGGAGAAGGAGGGGGGCCCGGGGCGAGAGGCACCCCCTTCACGCGCGCGCGCGCACACGTTGCCGGCGCACGCACACACGCGCGGACACACTCACCGACACGCACACACACACGCACAAAGCTCGCTCGCCTCGAGCGCACTAACGTGGCCGTTTTCTTTGTGTGGAGCCCTCAAGGGGGGTTGGGGCCCAGGTTCGGTCCCGGGGAGATGGCGCAGCCCATCCTGGGCCATGGGAGCCTGCAGCCCGCCTCATCCGCTGGCCTGGCGTCCCTGGAGCTCGACTCGTCGCTGGACCAGTACGTGCAGATTCGCATCTTCAAAATCATCGTGATTGGGGACTCCAACGTGGGCAAGACCTGCCTGACCTTTCGCTTCTGCGGGGGGACCTTCCCAGACAAGACTGAGGCCACTATCGGCGTGGACTTCAGGGAGAAGACCGTGGAAATCGAGGGCGAGAAGATCAAGGTGATTCAGATGGTCAGGTCCGGGAAGGGAGGGATCTGGGAGGTGGCCTCGCCTGAGGCATTGCTCTAGAGATTGTAAACGTCCAGCGCGTGGCTGTGTCACCGCTTGCTGAGTCCAAGACCCTCGGCACCCCCTCATTCCCTTTGCCTCTCTCAGTGGCCTGGTTCCCACCTCACCCGGTTTTTTAGGGCAGGCGGGAGTGGTTGCATTCATGCCCTTTGCCCCTGCTTGACAGCTGTCACCAGGAAAGGCATGTCTGATCCCATCCTTGACCCTGAACTGAGAGCAGCGGCACCTGTGGGCAGAGGGAGGCGTGAGGCATCTCTTGGTCCTGGTCTGTGGGATGGATCCCAAAGCACTTTATACATCTTGAGGCCTCTTCTACCTCTTGGGTGCCAATAGAGTGCAAAAACCCACTTTGGCTGAGCCCCGAGGCATTAGAGGGGAGGAAAGGATGGCCATCCATAGAGAATGAAAGCCACTTTATTTTAAGTTAGAGTTTATGGTTAAGATTAGGGCTGAGTTGGAATAGGGGTGGAGTGGGGTGGTTCTGGCACAAAGCCATGAGCCCTTTTAAACAAATTGAGACAGAGTCACCTGCCAGCCCTTCATAACAGACAAAACTTGTTCTTTTGGAACAGTCCCCCCAAATGATATCTTCTTTATTTGTCTGGGGTACCTAACGAATAAACTGCCCATTACTCATTCTATTGGTATTATCTGCAGCAGGCCTTTGTCGAAATGCAGAGCAACTTATCTGAGGGCCAACGGAAGTGTCTGGGTCCTTCCCGCTCATTAGTTTCTCAGATAGGCTAAGTACAGATATTCTTGTCTGACCATTTGTGCTCACTTTTGGTTCAGAAAAGGTAGAAACTGAATAGGGCAGGAGTATTTCAATGTGCAGAGGATGGTGGGAGGGAGGACATGGCAAGGGTGGCTTCATGTGTCAGGGGAGCGGCCGGGGGGGTAGGGTTATAGGCAGGAAAGGCACCTCAAAAGGCGCTGGGCGCTAAAGATCAACTCCGCTAGCCCCCACCGCCTGCCTCTTCTTGAGCCAGTGGTTGGCCCCTGTCGGGTGAACCTCCCTCCTGCTGGTCAAACAGCCTGAATGACCACAAGGCCCCTCTTCTGAGTGATGTAGAGAGAAGGGCTGAGTAACTGGGGAGAATGACGAAACACTCTAAACTGTGCAAGACTCCTGACTGCTTTGATTATTAAAATGAACGGGTTTTAAAATGGCTCCAGAAACCAGGCCAAGGCACTTGATGTCAGGAAGATGGGCAGCTCGGTACTGGTGAGGGAGGGCTCTTGAGAACATCTGAGCCTCAGGGTCGGGAAGATATGGCACCGTTTTGAAATAGTGATCTTTTTCACCGCTTGCATTTTGGGGGGAGTTGCTTCGCTTCCTTTTTAAAGTCAAAGCAGGTATCTGTCTCTATCTTGTCCTGGGGCCCTTATGTTGACATTTGCTTGTTTAAGACTTTCTCTAGTGTGTCTAATTTCTTTAATGTAAGGTTTTAAGATTCTGGAAATTCTAAAACATGCCTTTTAAAATGCCTTTTAAAAGTAGAAATATACTTGTGGATGTGCTCTTAAACCCTCAAAACCCTTAACATTTAATGCTATCACTTGTTTCAAATCAAGTGTCACATTGAACCAAAGAGTTCTCAGGATTTAGGAGAGGGGCCATAAATCCACTGAAAATTCAGAAGGAGGAAAAAGGAAGTGTTTGGGTGTCTGGGGAGGAGGGAGAAGGGGGGAGAGGAGAGGAGGAATCTAGAAAGTAGGAAATGGGAGGTGAAAATGAGGGGAATCGGGTCAGCACCCAATAGACTCGGGGAACTTGTTAAAAGGCTCCTTCCCTTCTGACACCCCCGTGCTTCGCCAAACTGGATTTTACAGTCCGCCAAAGATTCCAGATTCCCAGGGGGCAGAGCCTGTGACAGTGTGATTCACTGGAAACAGAGCTCGGCACAACACCACGTGCTGATAAGTGCTTAATACAGGCTTTTTTTGGGAAGATGATATTTTCAAGAGGGCAAAGCCTTGTGACACGGCTCACGGCGGAGCCCTCTGAGTGCAGATGCTGAAGGAGCTCAGGGTGGGGTGTGGGAGTGGGGAGATGGTGACCTTGCCTCTTGTAAAGCTGCTGCAACCTCAGGGCCAAAGCCGCCAGGCAAGACCAGCATGTCTGTGGGAAGACGGCAGAGCGTGGCAGCTAGCACAGGATCTAGACAGGAGAAGATTTTGCCCCACACTCCGGCTGGCCTGGAGTTTCTCCAGGAACAAGTGCCAAAACCATGCCATGACATGACTGCCAAAGGTTTCTTCCTTTGGGGGAGGGCAAAAAGTCCAGGGTGACAGGCTGAGGTGGCCCTAGACCACAGCCAGCAATAGAAGGCTGTCGGGCTATAAAATGCCAGGTCTCACAGGAGAGTGGTCGAGAGGTCTCAGCGAGCTCTTCTCGCAGTCCAAGAGCAGGGTGTGGCCTCTCCTGGGCTGCTCTCTGCCTCCCAGGGTAGCACATGTGTCAACCCCTGCAGGGGGAATGACTGACTTAGCGTATTTGGGGCTACTCTCTTAATTACCAGGGCCATCCCTAGGGCTTTGAAGCCCCATTTGGTGTCTCCAATCAATGTGTCCCCATCACCTCCCCATCACAACATGTACAATACAGTGTTTCCTGGTTAATGTGAACATCAAGACAACTATTTCTATTTAGTGAATAAACAAAGACCCCAGGCTAGGCACTTTACACGTGCTATCTATTTCATCTTCACAGCAGCCCTATGAAATTAAGACTATTATCATTATTCCCAGTTTATAGCTAAGGAGACCAGCATTAGAGAGATTAAATAACTTGCCCAAAGGCACATGGATCTGAGCTTCAGTCTTTGACCCTTGACCCCAAGGACTTCACCATCTCACTATCCTGCCTTCCCTGGGACGGGATCAGGAGTGCGCACGGGGGAAGGCGTCATGCCAGGCGGCCAGCCTTATGGTCTCTTTTAGGCCAGGGGCCCAGGGTTATAGCCCCAAGACCCAGGAGCCTTCAAGCTGTCTCCTTCAGCTGCACTCCAGACATTGAACTGAGTACCTGAGTCTTATGTTTTGCACCCTGACTGTCTCACCTTGGGCGTGAGAATGAGAGAATGTTCAGAGATGGAAGGGACCTTGAGAATCTCTAATCCAACGTCCTCATTTTACAGATAGGAAACTGAAGCTCAGAGAGGGAAAGTGACTTGCCCAAGATCACACAGGGCCCGGCCTACAACTCAGGTCTCCTAATCCCCTTCCAGGTGCTCTTTCCATATAAATCCCCACTCTAGGTGACTCCCATGGTCCATCCAACCCATGCAGTTACCTGTGACAGGGACAGGGAGGGACAGCATATGGGCAAGCTGACACTCCTTCCTGAGATCAGCCTAGGAAGGGTGGAGGCATCCCCCAACCCCCAAAGGAAAGGTGGAGCTTCCCTTAATGACCATTGTGTGTCTGTCTCCTAGGGGTTTAGCTAACTCATATTGAACCTGTCTCCGTCTAAAAGCACTGGAAAATGCCAAGTAGCTGTATGTGGGGGATGGGATGGGGGAAGTAGTAGAGGGGAGGCTCAGAATTAATTTTTGAACCATTCTTCGTAAATTCTCATGGAACCCCCCCCCCCCCCCCCCCCCCAGTTTGGTTTCTCCCACAGGCTGGGTACCCCCTCTGGTCCATCCCTCTGGACCAGGAAACTGCAGGTCAGCCATGGCTGTGGGCAGGTGCCGCCCAGGACTGTGGATTTCTCGTCCTCTGCTGATCACTTGGAAAAACACCTACCTGTGTTATATTATCGAGTGGACAGGGGCTGAGCTGTGTGTTCCCTCAGAAGCTGCCTGCAGTCAGGATGACATCATGTCTTCTTTAGGGCTTCTGAGCTTCCCTCTTCTGCCAGTTAGCTTAATGGTTAATTATCTATCAGTGTGTGTTTCTCTGTCTGCCTTGCTGCCTCTCTTTCTGTGCATGAGTTTCTCTTTGTCTCTGTCCTCCTTTGCCATTCTCTGTGTCAGCCTTATGTGTGTGTATCTTAGATGAAGATGGGACAGTCCAGCTAGTTGAAGAAAAGATTTGTTTTAAACTTTTCCCATCATCCACTTGGGCACCCTCCAAAGGTTACAGATGTATTTGTCTCCCTTTTTCCTCTTCTACCCTCCCCCGCCAGCTTCCAACAAAAGGACATTCATGTCTCATCTATAGAAAGATGCCAGATATATTCCCCAGGGAAAAGAAATACTCATGTAAGCGAAGAGCACGTGCAGGGGGTGGGGGATCTGCTGAAGCTTGCTCAGGCAGTGGGAGCCCCAGGAAAATAGTTCAAAAGACTAGATTTATCTTTGGCAGCTCCCCACACTGTGCCCCTCGACCCTCCTCCAGCATCCCCGTCACTTTGGCCTACCCCCAGCCACCCATGGCATGTTGCTGGCATTCTTCTCTCCTCCCCCTCCCCACTGACTGCCTTTGCCTTGGCTCTAACTCATCATCAACAAGCCAAGCTTTCTGTGCTTTCCAGGATGAGAACCAACAGATCCAAGGAGCAGTGCTACCAGGACAGGGCTGATGGGCTTTCTGAGACAATGGCAACAACTAACATTTGCAGAGCACTTTATATTCTGCCAAAGCTCTTTCTCACGTGTTATTTCATTTGCCTAGTCATTTACTCAGCTACTAAGCGGGGGAGCTGGAACCCAGGGCTCCCAATTCCAAAGCTACTGCTGCGTTTCCAACAGCACCTCCTGCTCAATGAGTTGTCAGGCCAGACTTGATGGTGGAGGTTTCAGGCCAGGAGGGAGAGTGTGTATCAGGCACCGTGTCAGGTACTTACAAGGAATGCTAATCCTCACAGCATCCCTACAAGACTGCTGTGGTTGTCCTCGGTTTCCAGAGGAGGGAGGACACTGAAGATAGAGTAAGCAACTTGCCTAAGGACACCTAACTAGTACTACATGTACTAAACACCTAACGTGTACTAGTAGTACATGATTGGGCAGAGATTTGCACCCGAGTTGGTTTGATTCCATTACACGCCACTGGCCCTTGGAGAGAAAAGAGAATCTGAGGAGCACGTATGTGGCTAAGGGGTAGTCAGCCCTGGCCACCACGTAGATGCAGTGCCCACAGGAAGGGAAGAATGGATGAGAGGAGAGCCAGCTGCAAAGGGGGAAGGAGATGCTTTCACTGTCTGGCAGGGGCCGGGGGTTTATGAGGATACTAAGGAGAACATGCACACCAAACCCCCAAACAAAATGAGGTCGCTTGTCTGTCTAGTGAGCCTGACAGCTGTGCTCTCCCTTTGTGATGACTCCGAGGCCATGCCATCGGTCCTTCTGATTTTCTGCTGTGAGCAGCCTGCTTCCTGGCTCCCGTCTCACCACAGACAGGAGTGCAAAGGCCTTGGATTGGCGTTTATAAAGAGCTGGAATGGGAGCAGTGCCTACAGTTTCAATTCTGAGCCTCCAAATGAAAGCTTCAAGGCTCCCCGCAGCATTGGAAAGGCAAAGGTCGCCGGCAGAAAGGGCCCTCCCTGCAGTTCCGGCAGCTTGGGCGGTGTATACAATTCTGAAGCCAAAAAAAAGCCAAACAGCCAACCTACTCAGCCCCAAACACCTCACACACTCCCACCCGTGTTCCTGCTAGTGGCAGGTATTTTTAGAGTCCTGAGCTCATGGTGTTAAAGCATCTGCCACATGCCTGAGGGCTGGTGGGGATTCAGCCTTACTCAGAGGCAAGAGTTAGGACTACTGGGGTTGGGGGTGGGGATCAGGAACCGAGTGGTAATGATATTCTTGTGCTCTATCTGCTCTCTTCCCACCGACCTCCATTTCTTTCCTGGCCTGTTCTCCTTTTCTTCCTGCTCAGAGCACTAGAGAGGTGGAAGAAATGAAAATCTTTTTTGTCTTTGCTTGCCAAAGCAAATCAGTGTTCAAGGACTTATGTTTTTCTGTGTAACCAAAGTCGAACGTTTTCTCTGAAATCACCTTGGCAGATACTTAGAATGCTGGACTGTTTGTAGTGTTGGTGGCTCAGGCCAATAGTGCTTTTTGGTGTTGAGGATGAGGATGATGACAGCCATGATGACGAGTGATCTGATGCAGAAAAAAGTCCGCTTACAGTTTAACTGGAGAGATGCCAAGAGCACTGACGAAACAATTAGAGAACAAATAAATATAATCTAAATGGCGTGGCACAGACTCAAAGTGCAATAGAAATTCCTAAGAAAAGAGAATTGAAGAGAAGTTGGGGGAGGTGTTAGGAAGAAGGTAGAGGCAAGAAAAGAGAATTGAAGAGAAGTTGGGGGAGGTGTTAGGAAGAAGGTAGAGGCATGAACTGAGCCTTGAAGAATGGGTGAAATTTGGATAGGGCCATGGGGGACAACCAATTCTGTAGGGGAAGGGGGGACTAGCAGGACCAAAGGGACAGCACAGGGAATGAACCAGGCGTAGATGAGTAGTTCAAAACCAGGTTGGTGGGGTCAAACTATGGCAGACAGAAATCTTTTCATTTGATGCTACGTGCAGTGGAGGGCTACCATAATTTCCTGAAGCAGGGATTTAGGAAGGCTAGTTTGAAAGCAGTATGCAGGCAGCATTGGAATGAAGACATCTAGAATCCAAAACACTCTGCTGTAGTCTAGGAGTGAGAAGAGGAGGGTCTGACCTAGGGACATGAAAATCGAAATAGAAGAAGGGGTGAATTTGAGAGTCGTGCTAAAGGAACGTGGTAGCCGTCCATAGAGGAGATGACGGGGAGCCTGGACAATGATAATTGATGTTCAGCATGATGACTCTGGGGCCGTGTAAGATCTTTACTCAGCAAAGAGATTCAATTATATTTACTAGATTATACTTACTGACTGCTAACTCCAAATAAAGGCGATACTTTGTTTTAAGAGCCATAGTAGTCAATTAGTGGCCATAATCAAATTTGCTTTGATAACTGAGAATTGTATAGGGCCTTGGGACCATCATTCTGAGTATGAATTTCTCTTGTCCAAGACTTTGGATATATAAAGGGAAATAGATTGGGCTGAACGTGTGTTGACTCCAGAGTCTCCTTTTGGAATTTTGTCTCTGTATATGTTACTGATATCAGCGTTTTTCCTTCATAATTTGGCCTTTATCCCAAAAGCTGAGATGCAGAAGAAAACTCCAGCGAGCTAAATTACCTTTTACATAACAAAGAAGGGAACTTTGTTTAAGCTTTTCTAGAAGTGAACTTATGAGAAGTGAACTTTTGTAAATTGAGCTAAAAGATGAGATTTGACCTATTTTCTTTAAAAAGTCATGCAAAACCCCCCAAAGCAAAGTGATGTTTATTACAGTAGAAAATTTAGAAAATATGAAAAAAAAGAAGAAAATAAATATCACCTATAGTCCCACTGCCCATAAATAACCATTAATGTTTAGTGTGTACACGTCCAGTCTTTCTCATGCATATGTCTGTTGAATATTTTTTAAAAATTGGGACCATAGCATATGAAAAATTTTATACCCTACTTTTTCACTTACTTATATTTTGTGAGCATTTCCTCCACCATTTGTTGTTTGAAAACATTATTATTATTTTTCGTGAGGAAGATTGGTCCTGAGCTAACATCTGTTGCCAATGTTCCTCTTTTTGCTTGGGGAAGATTGTCCCTGAGCTAACATCTGTGCCAATCTTCATCTATTTTGTATGTGGGATGCTGCTACAGCATGGCTTGATGAGCGGTGTGTAGATCCGTGCCTGGATCCGAACCAGTGAACCCCGGGCTGCTGAAGCCGAGCATGCAAACTTAACCACTACGCCACGGGGCCAGCCCCTAAAAACACTTTTAATGGCTGCATAATAGCCCATCGTATAGATATCTACATGTACTTAGCTATTCCTCTCCTAGGGAGCATTTAGGTTGTTTCCTGATTTTTAAAAAAGTATAAATAACCCTGCAATTAAGATTTTTGTACAGAATTTTGACAACATCTCTGCTATTTCTTGTGTATAGATTTCTGGAAGTGAGATTATAGGCTCAAAGAGTTTTGAACATTTTTCACGTTCTTGGTAATATTACCAAATTTCCCTCCAGAAAAGCTGACCAATTTTCATCCCAGTTTTTCAACTAAAAACCTTAAGATTTTTCAAGTCAAGATTTTCAGCTAAAAATCTTAAGAAAAACTTTATAAACTCTGAAAGAACCTTCTCTCTATACTTTGAGAAGTCCATTCTGCCAGTCTGTCAAAGAACCACTTCCTGTGTCAGGACTTGTCACCTCATTTTTATAATGCCGCAGAACCATGTTTTCTCCCACTCATTCATATTTCCTTTGCTGACCCCAAATATGGGTTTTTGTATCTTCCAGGTTCAGGTGTGGGACACAGCAGGTCAGGAACGCTTCCGCAAAAGCATGGTCGAGCACTACTATCGCAATGTGCACGCAGTGGTCTTCGTCTATGACGTCACCAAGATGACATCCTTCACCAACCTCAAAATGTGGATCCAAGAGTGCAATGGGCATGCTGTGCCCCCGTTAGTCCCGAAAGTGCTTGTGGGCAACAAGTGTGACTTGAGGGAACAGATCCAGGTGCCCTCCAACCTAGCCCTGAAATTTGCCGATGCCCACAACATGCTCTTGTTTGAGACGTCGGCCAAGGACCCCAAAGAGAGCCAGAACGTGGAGTCAATTTTCATGTGCCTGGCTTGCCGACTGAAGGCTCAGAAATCCCTGCTCTATCGTGATGCTGAAAGGCAGCAGGGGAAGGTGCAGAAACTGGAGTTCCCACAGGAAGCTAACAGTAAAACTTCCTGTCCCTGTTGAAACCAAATGGTGTAAATACAAGATCAATTATCACTGGAATTTTTTCTTTCCCTTTTTTCCGTGCCTGCATAATGCTGACACCTGCTTGTTTCCATACAAATTGATATTAAAATAAAATTTGTATAGATTATCATGTGCCTTCAAGTTTTGCTTTCCTCCAAGAAGACGTTTCTGATTGTGATGAGTAGAAGAGGCAGCTTGCCCTACTATAGAATGATATGCCCGTGCCCAGGCACACTCCCTACCAGCCGTCTATGCCACCTGGAATTCTCATCATTTGAGGCACTTCTTCAGACCTAATTCATTCTCTTATTCGGTGTGTCATCAGTGGGCAGAAACACCCAGAAGGTGGGGGAGGTATAGGCCAGATATGTCTTTCTAGAGCACCAATGCAGGCAGCAGAATAGAGAAGTCTCGAAAGAAGACGTTGACTCACCAATATTTCCTAGGTTCCCTGGATGTCGAGAGTAGGCTGCTCTCTCCTTATTTCCCCAAATTTAAAAATAGAAAGTATAGGTTGCCCCATGAGCCCAGTTGCCTCAAAGTAGTTAGAACCGGATTCCCATTTTTCACCAAGCAGTCTCTGACACCAAAGGTGGAATTTTTTCCCTTGCCCTTTCTTGGAGAGGGCAGAGCTCAAGCTAACAAATATCTATTATGCCCCCAGATCTTTGCTGGGTGCTATGGAGAAAACATAACAATAGGAGGATTGGTCCCCTACATTCAAAGACCCTCTGATCCAGGTGTGGGAATAATGTAACCACTAAACTACTGGAGAACAAAAATTAAACAAGCTTACCAAGTGTAAGGCTGTGCTATGGGGGTGGAGAGCATTATGGACTCAACATCAGGGAGGGGTCACTGAAGAATAATTAGACTTACTTTGTATGTTGAATGAAGTGTAACATTTGGATTGGTAAAGAGGAGGGGAGGGTACAAAAGTAGGGAGGCAGGAATGACTTTGGGGTTGAGCAGGAGGACAACTGGGAGTCTGGCCCACTGACAGCTGTGCAGCCCTAGTGGGGAGCCAAGGTTGGGGAGACCCGTGCATCAGGCAGGACAGTTGGTTGCTTTTTGAGCCAATGGGAGCTTTTGGTGGTTCTCCAGAAGGAGTCCTGTAAGTATTTCTTATGTTTCTGGTCCTAGGATGTGAAAGCCCCTTGTCCAATTGTTAAAGTAACTAAAAGTGGCTATCAAGGCCTGTCTACAACAGCCGCGGGTAGATTTCTTTGCTTGGGAGGTGCTCCTTAAGGCGGCTCTCTTGTTGGAAGCCGGTGGGGAGAGGGACCCAGGCAGACAGCCCCCGAGCACTCTCCTCTAGTCTGCCCCTGTCCCCCACAGCAAAGGGTAATATATGCCAGATGCGCTTCTCACCCAAACAAATAGCCTGTCTGAGCCTGCCTGGTTGGCTCTGCAGCCCTCTTCTTCCAGCACCGGCTAATCCCCCACCCTACCCCAACCTGGCCTTGGGCTCAGCCCAGCCCCCCAGTCTGGTTCTCAGCACTTGGCTTCTGTCTGGATCCCAGTCTTTGGAGCCTACCTAGGACCCTAGTTAGGGCTGTGTTTTCTCACTAGTTGTCTTCACCCAATGCCCTGACCCCGAATCTCACCCGAGGGGCTGAGAGCCTGTTGTCTGTTGGTGAACTGCCTGCTGACCCCCCTGTCACTATGCTTCCCCTGATGGAATACCCCAGGGCCTTGTCTCAGACTTCAGATGCTGACTCCTTGCCCTGGACATGACCGGCTGTTGTAGTGTCTTTTGGCTCTTGTGACCTGGCTGCATGGCTGGGCCACCTCTCAGTGGCTGCAGGTACACTTGTCTATCCTAATGGGTGCATATCAGTCTGAGTCTTGACTCTTCTTGGTCAGGACCCCTTTCTGCTGTGACAGGGTCAAGATGACAACATTCCAAGTCCTCTGACCAGGATTGCCTCTGACCTCTTTTAGGCTTTCAACAAACATTTACTGAGCACCTACTACGTGCCACTGTTCTAAGCCTTGGGGATACATAGGTGAACAGAGTAAAATCCTGCTCTCGTAAAGGAGACAGACACAAAATAAGAAACGAGATACACAAATTAGATAACTTGAGAGAGTAATAAGGACTCTAAGGGCCATAAAACAAGGTAAGTAGATAGAAAGTGAGGGAGGCAGGAGAAGGGCACCATACTAGATAAGAGTTGGCACAAAAGGCATCTTCAAAGAGAGAACATTTGAGTCGAGACCTGAATGAAGAAAAGCAACCAGCTGTGAGGACAGGGAGAAGAGAACCCTGAGCAGAGGAAACAGCGAATACCAAGGCCCTGAGGCAGGAGTGAGGTTGGTGCCGTTGAGGAACAGAATGGAGGCTAGTGTGGCTGAGTAAGCAAGGGGGAGAAGGTGGACGAGGTAGAGAAGTAGGTAAGGCCAGGTCTATCGGGTTGGGGTTTTATTTAAGTGCAGTGGGAAGCCAGCAGAAGGTCTTAGCATCATCTAGACTCAGTAACCTTTGGAAAGATTCAACAGGCTTGCTGACCTACAAGAGGGAAAAGCTTCTACTTTCCTTAGCTCCTCTGAGAGGAACTGACACCCCTTCCTGGGAGGTTTCTGAGTGTGGGCCTCAGGGTTGCCACCTCCATGCTGGCTGGCCTCCACCTTAAAAACCAGACTCTGAAAATTTCCCCCAGACTATCACCTTTTGGTACTGTTAAGTCCCTGGTAGTTTTGCTGCAAATAGCAGGAACTCACCAATCCTACCTGCCTCTGTCTTCTGTGCCTCACCTGCCTGATTCTGTCCCTTCCTGTAGTATGACATCGCTCTCCCTCAGGCGCCTAGGGACAACCAAGAAGTGCTGGGGCTCCCCACTGTGGCCCCAGGAATCCTGAGAATCTCTGGGCTCCATCCAGTCTCTCAGCCCCAGAACTTCCTTCTGGCATCAGCAGGGTGGCTCAACAGTGCTCGGGCCTCTCAGATTGAGCAAGAGGACTTGGGAATGGGCTGTTCCCAGAGCACAGCCAAAGAAGGGGAGTCACGAGGCCAGAGAACCATGACACCCTTGTTGCCGAGAGGGTGGTGAGGAGCTGAGGGAGTCAAAGGAAGCAGGGTGCTTTCAGGCTCCTCGTTCATCCTCATTATGTCTCTGGAACAATCCATCATGGCCAGTCTCTCTCCCCTACAGCTCCTCTTCACTTTACAGACCTGTACTCTTGAGTCTTCAACTGTGCTACAGACACAGGACCTGGAGAAATAACTACCGACATTTGAATACCTATTGTGTTCCAGGCCCTGTGCAAAAACACTTTATATTCTTTTACTAGCTCATTTACTGTTCCTCCAGCCCTATGAGGTAGGGATAAGGATCTCCATTTTACAGATAAGACTATGGATGCACCGAGAGATTTAGTGATTTGTCTAAGGTAGTAAGTGCTGAAGCGAGATCTGACTTATTTCAAGTCTAGGCTCTCTCTATGATATTATACTGTCTTTCCAGCTCATTCCAAGCTCCAGGGATTGCAGGTTTACTCCAGCCAGTCCTCTGACCCATGGGGGTTTGGCAAGCAGGCCACTCAATATCCAGGAGGCCAGACTAGGACATTCCTCCTTGAATGGGATGGCGCTGCCCGGATCCCTGCAAGAAGCCCAAATGGCAACAGAAGTGTCAAAAGGGCCAAAGGAGTCTCTAAGATGTCCATGCCTTGGACGATAGCTGGGACCACACAGACAGCTGGGCTCTACTGCTCAGCCTTTGGAGCCGTAGGATCTTGTCACTGGGCCCCTTAGAACTACTCCTCTTCCAATATCTGCGCATTTGCTCACGTCCCCCAGTTCACCTGAGGCCTTGCTCTGGCCGAGCTCGGTGCGGCTGAAGACTCTCTCAGCAGGATCCTTCAGGCAGAGAGCTCAAGACCAGATGCTGCTCTGAGCACAGCCACCTAGAACAGCGCCGGGAAGGGATATCCAGCCCAGAATAGCCGGAGAAGCCCACTCCCCAAGTGAAGCTGACTGCAGCCCACCCTGAGTGTGTGAGGGATGGGGATGGAGGGTGTGGAGATGTGCTGAGCTCCCTGGAAAGCAAGGCTCAGCTTCTCCTGCAACTTTGAGCGGCACATGCAGAGAGGCCAGTGATCACTCTCTTCTAACACCTGAGGGGACAGAGTTGCTGCCTTACTATAGAGGGCTCCCTCCACCCACCATCCCTCATCCCCTCACTGGGGGAGGCCTTGCTCCCTCTGGAAGGGCTGGCCTAGGCTCCACTGGTTTCAAACCTTCTTCTGACTCCAAGTCCCCTTAACTGTCCACGGCCCTAAGGACTGGTTCTGGGCAGCAGGACTGAGACAGGGACACCAGAGATTCCCAAATGCTGGTTCACAGCCGACTGCATGCAATCAGTTGGCAGCTTGTCAAAGTACAGATTCCTGGGGCACCAGCCTCAGACACTCGGATCTCCTAGATTACTAGATCTGGGGGCAGGGCCCAGGAATGTGTGTTTTTTTAAATGTCCATAGCTGAGGACCGGCCCAGTGGTGCAGCGGTTGAGTGCGCACGTTCAGCTTTGGAGGCCTGGGATTTGCCGGTTCGGATCCCGGGTGCGGACATGGCGCTGCTTGGCAAGGCATGCTGTGGCAGGCATCCCACATATAAAGTAGAGGAAGATGGGCATGGATGTTAGCTCAGGGCCAGTCTTCATCAGCAAAAAGAGGAGGATTGGCGGCATATCAGATGTTAGCTCAGGGCTCATCTTTCTCAAAAAAAAAAAAAATTAAAATGTCCATAGTTGATTCTGATATACTTCCAGGTCTCTCTCTCTCAGTGTGTGTGTGTCTCCCTAGGCTTCCTGATGAACTCTCAAATCAGAAACTACCTTTCCTGAGCCAGAGCTTCAAAACTAGCGATCTGGGTAACCCTGGACCCCAGCCTGGTGAGGTGGATTCTTTCAGGATCCTTTCTTAGGATAAATGAAATGATTCCAGTCATACCAGATGTCCTTGGGCTGTTCGTCTGAAACTGGTAGGCAAGAGCCTCTTAATCACGAGAGGCAAGTGAAGAACTACCCTTGAGTATAAACACCTCTGCACTGAGGACCACTCTGGACTCCCCACGCGACGGATAACTGGAGACTGTGTGTGTGTGTGTGTGTGTGTGTGTGTGTGTGT